ATTAGAAAACAGTGAATTATCGACCGGACCACTGATGCATGAAACTCGTACGAGTAGTCTAGAATGCTTATCGGTCCTTATTCCTGCCTAGCCCTGCCTGTTGAGTGCCAGAACACTAATCTCAGCCTCTGTGATATGATACATGTATTTCAAGCATACTGGGTTCATATACAAACAAAATAGACTAAATCATACAATAAAATAGAAAATATCATTTGCACAAGATTTAATCAAAAGTGGCCGTGAATGTGTGAGGTAGTAATTGATAGATAGAGCATAACTGAAGAATGGTAAATCGTATAATAATGTCTATGAATCAAAATGAAGCTTGTGATAAGATGAACACGAATATGAATAGTTTAGTTACTTAACAACTACACGATACATATATATAGTATTAGTACAGAAATAGATCCCAACAGCTACCATTCATTATTTCTCATCGAGATATAACAATAACGATTAAAAAAATTCTATATTGATGCAGGTCAGTGAGTGGGAAAAAGATTTCTAATACACTTTTTTTAAAGTTTACATTAGATTTGTAACGCCAGTAAAATATGAAATTCCAAGTGAACTTTTCATTTCATTGTTTAAGTTATAACTGTTAAAAACCCAATAAACCCCTTACTGATAAACTATACGATCAATCCACTAGGTTTGAATAAAGTGATTCTAAAAATGTTTATTTCGTTATGTATTAAATTAAGTAGAAACTACTAAAGTATAAATCGAACCTTATACTGAAGAAATTCAAGTGTGAATTTCTTTGGAAATATTTCATGGAGGTCAGGCATCCCTAGACTAAATATCAACATATTTTGAAAAAAAGTCTACAAGTAAATATTTATAATTTCCAAACATGACTGATCATTATTGAATCGTACATTTCCTAGCTATCAGCTGATAATATCGAGTAGGTGAAAAAGCTGCCTAAAAATACCAGCTTAGTCAGCTAACTAAACAACTGCTATAGCGAAAGCTACTTACAGGGATGTTCGTAAGTATTGTGTAACGAAATGTGGTGTCGAAGTCGTAACTATTTTCGAACAGAGTGAAGAGTTTTAGTGTATCGAAAAGGCGGCGTTGGCAGGACACTTGGAGACCATCGTAGAGCGTGTTATTGGTTGCCTGAGTCGTTTGAGAGTTTAATTAGTTTTATAATCGACTGAATGTTAAATATCTTATTGAGTTTAAATTAAGTCAGGATGATTTTTACCACTAGTTACATGCAGCCACTGTTTCCATTTGTATTCTGAATTACATTTCCCCATATACTGCAACTACTTTGACTTCATGAAACAATTTATTTCCGTAAATAATGCAAGTAACTGGGCTGTATGAAAATGTTTGTAACTGAGTCGAATGTATCTGAAATCTTCATTTCAAAATCTAAATACTACGGTTAAATGTGTTTCAAAATATTAAAAATCCCCACTGTAAAATTGTAACAGTATACATGAACGACTAACATCGTTTCCAATCAGATCTTCATTAGATTAATAAATATTACTGCATATTAAAATAAAATCGAACGAAGATGTAGTTGAGAACTAATATATTTCAGTTGAAGAGCATAATATTACTTCTTTTAAAAGCTAAAGTTTTAACATACTAAAATGTGGTTTGTTGAAAATTATATCAAAATACAGAGTAAAGGTACACTACTGTAAAACAAATAGTAAGAATTATTGTAAATACTTACAGATCACTTTAACTGATTTTTAAATGTTTATCTTTTTTATAACCTACTGTGCCCTTAAGTAGATATATGGATTAGATTTTTTCCGGTTCGCTTTAGATCATCCAAGTTAATGTTACAATCATATTTCACTTTGAAAATGGGAAACTTTACCGTTACCAACTCAAACATTTAACAAAGCTAACTTGTTGTTAATCAGAATTATAAAACAATCATATATATTTTTTGAAAATGCATAAACTACTAACTACTAACTAGTAGTTAGTTACAAACTACTGTAAACTCAAAGCAGGGACTGTTGATAATAAGCAGTCCTTGCATTACCGGTCTTGATGACTTCAAGAACTTCGAATCTCAAATCCAGACTAATTTTTAGCGAGAGCATAGGACTATTGGTTGATTACTATCGTGATGAGATATCCGTAAAACAGACAGCCTTTTTTTAACTGATCAATAAATTCAGTAAGGTGGTTTGTAGTCCTTATTTGCACTGTCTTCGATTGGTTAGACGTAACAGTTTTACAAGGAACTTATCAGTTGAGTTACCCTAGTCGTTTCTACATCTTACCAAATTACTTGTTCTACCATAAAACAGGAATTTCTTTCTATTCACAGTTTTCTGATTCACTAAACAGCATCAATATGATACTAATGTACGTTCACTCAAACCTGCGACTTGACAGATCAAAGCTTTCCATTGAGACCTCAAGAAAACAAACGTTTTGTGATATACACTATCTCCAGCTGGGGTGAAACAGAAATCCAGCTATCTTAGAGTCGTAGTGAGCTTATATCACGACCGCATCTCTACCTTGACCTGATTGTCAGACTTACCTATCGCGATGAATAAACCGAGCTATATTGGCTGGATCACATTTCTTAAGGACCAATCACGCAAGAGCGGCCGGTTGGGGAACAATATAACTGAAGGCAGTAACTTAAGGTCTGATGTTGAAATCATACTGATGACTGGAGTGGACTGTAACCGCAATAAGGTGCTTCCCTCGGACAAACAGTATCTGCAGCGATGCTAACTTTTCACAACAGGAGTCAGACAATGTCAACCCTAGACATGCTACACCTCACCTTACTCCACGGATTTGTCACCTTAGTAGTCTTTTGAAGTGTACAGCTAACACATCAAAAACTTCCCAAAAATGGCCGTACGTGACTGGTCTCAAGCAGTTGTCCGTTGAGCTCTGTCGTTACGCTCCTAGGACGCTAAAATCAACACTAATTACACTTCTTGTTTAGATCCTTCAAAAAGAAATATCATTCCGTAGTGTGAACATTCGGGAAGTGACAACCGCCTCCCACATCTATCAGCACCCGAGATAATCTTGTTTACAATCAAACCCCTCCCTCATCTGTTATTAATTCTTCTACTCTCAAGACTAACCCTTCTCATATATCTTTATCATCAAACGCCACCAATCCTAAAGACTTGAGTTCACGAAATGTTATTCCTGGTCTCCTGCAAACACGCTCTAAACTACGTGTTGGCGCTTTCAATGTTCGAACCTTGTGCCAGATAGGATTACAGACTTCCTTAACTAGCCACTGACATGTGCGCTGTCCGACTAAATGGAACAGTAAAAACTCAGGAAGATGGGAATACACACCGTTAAATCTTCGTTGTATCTACCTACGCTCATTGGTTTTAACCCCAATGAAGTAAAAGATGAATCCACACCATTCTTCAGAAACTAAGCGTTCAGATGTAGCAATCGTAGGTGATTTTGACCACCAAAAAGGTAGATTAAGCCGAACCGAAAAACATTTAAGTAGTTCTTGGGGTTTCGTGGCTCACTGGACGGTTAATGTTGATAGTTTGGTTCAAATATGTTCAGATAATTGTATTTTCTTAGCAAGCACCAACTTTAATGATAAGGAAGAAATCCTTCTAACATGGAAACCTCGACAGTCAACCCAGCGATTGTCTAAAATAGGTTACATTGCCATCAATCATCGCTGGAAAGGTTAGATAGAAGACTGCCGACCATTCTGAAGCACTTGTTTGGTCTCAGATCACGCCCTAGTACGACCAAATATTTGTCGCTTTATCCGAAGTAAAAAAGCCAAAGTAAGAAAACCCTATAGGGCTTAGGTTAATAGTGATTAAGTCAAGGCTATATTTCAGGAACTAGATGAGCAGTTAGTCAACCATGCAAAAGAGATTCATCAGTTTACATTATCTTGCCTCATCTTTCGTATTACCACTAATATTGTTACTACCTTTGATACTATGAAATTCTCTCTAAAAAGCCCATCTTGCTGTACTAATAGAGCTTGCTAACTTGGATTATTGTGCATGCCGTACCTAGCTATACGTGTTTGACTAACCGATTTTATGTACGTGTAGGTGATTGTTTCAATCAATTATGGATATGTGAATAGGTTAACTTATTATCCAGCAGTGTGAATAAAGTAATTTAATACGTCTTGGAGAAATTCGAATCATTCTATGGAAGACTAAACATGATAAAACACGAGGCTAGCAGAAGAATCCAGGATGCACGTTAACACCTATTTAGAACTCGTCAGCTGCAACCATGTTGGTGTTTACATAGAAACTCGGGCCCAGTGGCTTCTGCTTCAAACCCCAAACGCACTATCCATCTATCCACTGTTCTCATGTAGCCACTGACCTGTTCGGCAGATGAGATTTAGTCGTACTTGTGAGGATTTAAATCTCCTTATTGTTAATGTTCAAGATTGTAATTGGTCATTTTCTCTTGGTATGTGCGTCCTGAGTGGATTGTCTTGATGGTGTCACAAGATTTCCTAGGCATTTTTTTAAGAGATTCGACTCAGTCCAACCACGGAAATTCAAAGTCTATTATTAACAAATATCCACTGAGCACATGGTTGTTACAATACACTAACTTAATACGACATTCCAAGCATATTGACTTGGGTACGGTTTAACCACTGCCTAGACTCCTTTACTAACACTTTAAAAGTAAACTATCAATTGCTTTAGAACAGTGAGTAAAGGAAATTTTATGGTAGATCACACTATTCTTATTGTTACCCATCAATTACGATTTTCTGACTTTGTCAGCAAACCTCCTGAGAAGGTAACTCTTCGTTTTTCAAAACACTTTATATACAGGTCATTCGTCTATTTGTAAAAAAAACATCTAGCTACTTATATTAGCCAATTGCAATAATGGGATAAGAACGTCAAAACAATAAGATGAATTCGTTTTATTTCAGTTCAGACAATGTGGATAAATAAATAAAAACACCCCGGAAAGGTGTTCTGAAAAATATTTTACATCAAATTTTAAGATATTTAGTTTATGCTCTGAAAAAATACACAAGAAAATATTAATTAAGCAAGTGCGCACATGTAAAGAAAATAGAATATTTCCAAAAGTTTAAGACCAAATTAGACTGATGAGATGGATACTGGATTATTGTAGTTTTTAAATAACTAGCTGAGTAATCTGATATCATATAGAGAGGTGGTGATGATTTAATTAAGAAAGAAACATGAGCAGCAGTGTAATTTAAACCAGAGACTTTTGATTAGGGCTGAATAAAAAATCTATCCTAACTAAACCATAGTCAACCTTACCGAAATCACAAGACTTTAATATGTGACGTGTGCGATTAGTGCACGTCATTATATTTGATCGCAGGTAATACTTTTGTGACGGCCAGTATTACCGCTCAGCCATCTAAAAAGGCATTGCGTGTTTTGAATTCGTAACCAAATGGTTTAAAAAAATGAGTCTTTGAACTGCTTAGCCATCGCACCACACCGCAAAAATGGTTTTTAAAAAGATCGATCAGCTACAACACTCTTAACTGATTCTCGTCGTACATTCTATCTTAAAGGGCGTTTCGATTACATTTCCATGAAGACATGATTCTAACGATTTAATCTTCAAGTCTTAGGGGAATTTTTAGAATATATTGAGCAGCAACAGCTAAGTGTTCACGTCATGATGTATTTATTATATTATATATCTTACACATATATATCTAACAAATATTTCTCCGTTGAAATAATGACTTCAGAGAACATTTCCAGGCGCTAAAGACAACTACAATTCGTGATATAAGTTAGCACATTAAAAGCTAGAAAGTATGAGATCAAGTGATAAAGAATATTTGAAGCTCAGAATGAGGATGTTTTTGTGATCTCCGTCTACCTTAGATATCTCAACAACTCCAATATGTAAAGTTTTATAAAATTCATCTTTATAGTTTCTTCAAAGACAAAACCTATAATTAGTAAAATTCGCTTATTCGAATAGTAATAATAACAATAATACCAGTGTCTTTATTTAGAAGGGAACAAGAACAAAAATACGCAAGCACTGATGGACTCCAGTATGATTTAGTAGTAAGGGTTGAAACTTTAAACATCGAGTTTAAACTGAATCTCGGCATAATCAACAGTTTGGCAAACTCAAATTTGATATTTACGTTTAGAAAAGTATCAAAAGAAATATGAAACAAAATATTTTCACACTTAACAACGAACTTCTTTTCAAATTAGTAAGTGATATAGGAATTTTACTATTTATTTCACTCAATTAATTTCAAATTAATAATAATACGGAACATTTAAGTAATAAAAAATTGAATATGTGGACAATAATTTATTTTTGAAGGAAAAGAAATAGAAACAATTATTGAGTTTACATTTGTGAAACTAAGGACTTAATGACCAACTACACTTAATACTCTGTAGAAACATGTTAGATCTATGTCCACAAGACAATTATACTTCATCATCTAACCACGTGGTCAATATACACAGGAGAAATTTGAGTTGACATTCAGATATGACAGTGCCTAACTAGGTAGTTTCAGAAGATCCATTTGTAACTATTTTCACGACCTTCGAGACTTCAGGTATTAAAATACTAGTCTGTAACTAAAAGCCTTTATCTTATTCCTTTTTAGTGCACAAATACGACAGTTTCCTGATCACAAAGTCAGTCACCCACAACAACTGAATACTTTCAGTAAGTAGCAAAATAGAACAAAGCACATATGTGTATTTCAAGACTGGGTTTAAGCAACCTAAGGACCATTTTAATTTTGAAGTTAGAAATCTGAAATACTTGGATTGCGATGTAATAGGTTAGGATAGCTCTCTGAAGACAGATATGTTTGTTTGGGATTCGCTAAATAGGAATTCCTCAATCGACAAATTAGCAACTTTACTATGATAAACTTATACTGCTAACGAACCCTAATACAATACATAGATTGAGGTGGGCCATTTTACCAATAAGTCTACACAAAACCATTGCTGATGTAGTGATAAACAACTTGCACAATGGATAGTTTTGCACGCATTCGATATTGAACCCGATCTTGTTGGTTTTATTGGACACTAACCAGCTGAATGCATTCCTTCAAGCATCATTACAAGATGACCCCCATGAACTGCCCTGAAACCCCTCTCTTGCCGTAGTCAGCCAGTTTAGAAGTCTCAGGTCACCCCACCCCTTTATACAACCAAACACGTCCTTCCTCATAACGTTTATTGTCTTCTTTGTCTTTCGGCCATTTCGATAAAAAGTTGATTATTAGTATTGCCTGATTCTGCCATATCGTATATCCAAAATGACCTTACCAGGTTCGGTAGAATAAGATGACATCTGTGAAACGGATAGTTCTTGAAGACATATTTCCGCATGTAAGAGAAGTCTTTGATAATATTGTAACCGACCGTCACAAAATGTACAACGAAAAATGGAAAACCCGGTGATCTTTCTGATGTACACCAATTTGCTTCACAAGCATTTCAGATCAAGTTCATATTAAGTAATTTTTACCAGCAAGTAAAACCGAACATCCTGGTTTGATACCGCACTTAGTCACGTAAACAATGCAAAGACCTATATTACTATCTAACTAATCAGATGCACAATAATTACGAGTGGGCTGGTGGATTAAAATCGATTCCCAGCATCGTTGAGTTATATCTTTCAAATGATATACACCTTCCAAGTAGATTGAACCCCACTACATGTCTTTTCACTAAGGATACTAGTCTTTCCTGAACACACATATGGAAGTAATTACATATTGAAATGTGTAATGAACTGAGTCCATTATGCTTTTGTTTGCACACTGATTTAACAGCTCACGATGTACGAAATAGCTGTTCTGTCATATGTTATAGTTGGACAAATAAGATAACTATAATAATAATTGTAGAATAATTCATGTTGACTGTGAATAGAAGTCTCCATTATATTTGCTAGGTTCCATCTAAAGTGCAATTTCCTAGTAGAATTATTTCATTCAACTATTAGCTTCCATAACAACTTCCTCATAGTCAACAAAGGAAATGAAATCTATAAACGTAAAAGGATTATCACACTCCTCACGTATAGTGAAAGCCAGAGCGGCTTATGCCAATCTGGGCCACCTTTGGCGCCTTCGTGATGTTAGTCTGGCTGTAAAAGGTCGGATCTGCAACGCGTCGGTGAGAGCAGTTCTGCTCTATGCTTGTGAAACCTGGCCTCTCCGAGTTGAGGACGTTAGACGACTCTCTGTGTTCGATCATCGTTGTCTCCGAAGGATTGCTGACATTCAGTGGCAACACCATGTCAGTAATGCAGAGGTTCGGCATCGTGTGTTCGGGCACAGAGATGATAATTCAATTGGTGTCACCATCTTGAAACACCGACTTCGGTGGCTTGGACATGTTCTCCGAATGTCGTCCCAGAGAATTCCACGTCGTGCATTATTTGCCGACTCTGGGACTGGTTGGAAGAAGCGGAGAGGTGGTCAGTGCATGACATGGTGTCGTGGTATGAAAGAAAGCTGCAAAGGACTGGCTTCTGTCGGTCCTTCACGACTCCCTGGTTGGGGTCCGAGAGATGGTGCTACACAGTGGCTAGAGACGTTATCAGATATGGCTCAGAATAAAAGCCAGTGGCGATCCTGTTGTAACCTTCTTTTACTTTCTTCATAAAAAGTGGTTGTGTCTCCCTTACCTGAAAGATTTCTTCTGATTGTACCTTTCCGTTCCCTCATTTCTACCATACTACCTTGCACCAATCTCCTCGTTATTGTTCTCTTTTTTTGCGCCCCTTAGCTTTTTTTTCTATTTCTATTAGAATTCTCATTGTTTTGTGTGGCGCATATATATTGACGCTCTCTTGTACCAATATTCATGTGTTCAAATAAATAAATAAGCAAAGCTCTCCATAAACTAATTTATAACAATGGATCGTTGCATAAACGTTAGTGAACAACAGTGACAAATTAATATCAGTAAAGGTTAGTCAGTCAGCTACAAGGTAGGACCAGGCACATATGTGCATCGGTCCAGGTTGCCATACCTCATTAGCACAACAAGATGAACACCGGATTCATAGGAGTGGTTAGGTCAAAGGTTGCAATAAGGATATAGTATAGGAAGGAAGAATTAGTTCGTAGAAAGAAAGATATGAAGTGATTTTAATCTCTTAGTTTAAGGGAAGACAGGGAGTGTATACACCGACGCCATTGTGATCGATTCTGAGCCATGTCACCAAGAGTCTCCAACCATTGGTTACGAAAGTCACGCGGACCCCAACCAAGGAGTCTGCATCTACCAACATGGCTAAGACTAGAAGTTAGTGACTTCAAGCACTGATGCCACGTTTTGGTTTGGCCGCCCCTAACTTTCTTCCAACCATCCCCTACACCGGTTAGCATTGCATGTCGTGGTAATCGGTGTTCAGGCATACGTAATACGTGGCCCAACCATCTCAGTCGATGAAGATTCATAACCTCATCAACTGATTTACCATCATTCCCTAATACCCTGCGTCTAACCTCACTATTACTTACCCGGTGATCCCAACAGACGCCAGCAATATTTCTAAGGCACCTGTGGTCAAATACTTGTAGCTTACGAGTATCTTCTACTCTTAATGGCCATGTTTCGCAGCCGTAAAGTAGAACGGAACAAACTGCCGCGCAGTATACTCGTCCTTTTATTGATAGACAGATATCTCGCCTTCGCCAAAGGTGACGTCAGTTGACGAAAGTCAAACAAGCTTTTCGAATTCGTGCAGAAATTTCGTCAGACACCAACCCATTAGGGCTGATCAGACTTTCAGTACAAGTGAAGTTGCCAACGCGCTCGACTACTTCACTCCCTATCCTTAGTTCAGGTGTTGACGCAGACCAGTCCTGAAGCAACAACTTGCATTTAGAGGGAGAGAGGCGCATTCCAAACATTCTGGCATTGTTGCTCAGTGCTACCAGAAGACTCTGCATTTTGTCAGCGTCTTCACCAAACAGGACTATATCATCTGCGTATTCTAAGTCGATAAGTGGACC